CATTAGATTGAAGTTCACAAGCTTAGTAACTAATAAGTAAATACCTAAGATTTGGGGTTTAACCTGGACATCATCCAATCAGTGATCACAATTAGAGTGAAGACACCATTAATCTTATAGTCCATATATATCTTTTCATGGAAGTATAATGAAAAAGTGATTTACAGACTTGTTGAACTCTTGGTTCTCCATAGATAGTCAAACATTTTGTTGACAAATCAGGTTTTATAAATGAAGTACACTTGAGTAGAGAGCAGCCGATAAAAAAATACGTTTAAATTTAGCTACCTTAATAGATAGACATGCGTACTTGCAGCTGTAATCGTTGTGCATTTTCTTTAATTTCTCATACGAATTTAAACTAATCTAACTTCGAGAATTGAATTTATTTTTCGTTGCATTTCAGTATCGTTTACTTTATTTCTATCTTAGACTTTTCACATATTTTCTACTTCCCGTTTTAGAGTCCAGTTGTTTATTTAAGTTACTTACATATTTCGTTTCAAACAGATAAGGTAGTAAAGGATATATTTATGGTAAATAATTTTTCTGGTTGTCGTTTTTTTAGCGAGTTAGTTTTCTACGGGATGGGGACGCTAACCCCATTCCCAACCCTCCTCCTTTATCCGGGCTTGGGACCGGCATTAGCCCCCGGAGGGACTCCAGGCGGAGTTATATTTATGGTGAAGCTCTATAATAATTGTGCCCATGTAAAATAATATTTATGTTAATTCACTTCAATGATATGCCTCTAAATACCCTGGTACTGCCGAGAGTGGGTAGAGTCAGTCCTCCCTCTTGAAATGCTTTAACATGGCCACTTGCATGCAACTACTACCAGGGAAGTCCTACTGGCTGCCTTCTCGCGGCAGGGGTGTTGTTTACGAAATTGAGAGGAAAAAAGCAAATGTCCGGCGCTTTAAATGGGTCGGTGGACACGGAGAGTTCACCTAGAGGAGTTGCGAAACCCTGATTCCAAACCAACGGTGGAAATGGGCTCCAGTATCCTAAAAGAACAAATGGTGTATGAACCAATATTTGGTCACCAGCTACCATGTGACTGCATCTCCTGACGTTGCTCCACTGCCTTGTTGATCATATCTTTGGGTCAGAGGCTCGGGGTTTGACTTCCTAAGATAACCACATGCTTTGGTCTAGCAACCCTCGCAGTATCCCAGCCTTCATACAAATCGAATGATCTATGTGGTGCATATCTATTTGGTGCCTCGTTGTACCAATGTTTATGTGTTTAAATAATAATAAATAATACTTTAGTGATATAACGATTCTTTATGTGGCTCAGTCAATTAGTTGATGATATACACCATAAAGCCAGGCACATGTATAAACCTATTCAAGTTGTCACAAACTATTTACATACTAAGACAAAATTGTCAGGGTAGTAACAGTATTAATGGTGTTAGAAAAAATTACACATAAACGACACGATTTGAAAGGAATTATAAATCGGTGAAATAACAAAATTTTAGGGGATTTAGAAACTTAAGATCTAAGGGGTGACAAACAGTGAATGAACCTGAGACACAGTAAATGATTTTGAACCTCAACCAGATAGTCTCCATCTATTGACATGGCTCAGTTCGGTAGTCACTGTCTTCATGGACAGATGACATGTCCTGGTTTGACCACTCTTAGCTGTTTTCTGGCCTACTACATTAGGTATCATCGCGCATCGACGTAGTCGGTGGATGGGCATACGTAATATATATACCAACCATCTCAGTTTATAAAATTTTACTACCTCATTAATTTATTTATCGTCATTATCTAGTACTTTGTGTCTAACCTCAAAATTGCTTACTCGATGGTTTTGAAGCATACGAACAGTGGTATTAATACATCTCCGAACGATAACTATTAACCTACATGTGGCTTAATCTACATAGGTGTTTGATTCGCTTTGTATTAATAAAATAAATTTGATAAGACATTTCATTTCTGTTTGCAATACGGTCCCCTCGTTTGATTTTAAAGAGTTCCGATTAATTTTCATAAAGGGAAAAACATTCATGTGTGGTATTCAAAAACTTTATGGATTTCACATGGATGTTATAAATAATTGTTGCCAGTCACGCCTGCTACTTATAAGTAATTAAACTTTATCAGTCATATTAGAAAGTATATAATAAGTAGATTGGAATAGACGAAGCGGGTTTTCAAACACTTTTATCATTCAAAATTTGTTAGTCTGAACCTCTATTCATTATTTACTAAACTGACTAATATGGAAACCTCAAATGTTGAACGAGGTATTTACAACTAGCTAGCTTTTTTTGAATCACATAGCACTTATCGTAGAACATAGCGCCACGATGTTGTGTAATGGTATATTTATATGGTGGTTGTACTACATCACAAATGAACTGAAGTTAAAAAACTCTGATTATTGGACTTCGATCCACTAGATCGTATTGTATTTATTTTATAACCTACAGATCTTGGATCTGGTAGGGTTAAACTTGTAAAATATTAAGAAATCTAAAAATAAGACGGATTAGCTGCATAGTTTGTTTGGTTGATTTTAGTCTGTGACCTACACTACTTTCAAATAAATGAGATCTATATAAGCTACTAATATGGATCAATTATAGGTAATGAGTAGTTTCTGAGTTAGTGGAAAAAGATTTATAACTCAGGTGGATGATTTTGAACTTTTATTCAGAAGTCAAATATTTTCAAGAAGGATTCACATTACAGGGATAATACATTTTGACAGTGTATCTCTCATCAAATGTAATTAAATAAATCACAAGTCTTTATAAATTATTAAAACTAATGAAACATAGATAAATCCTGCAGACGAAACTTAGGTCTAGAGCATCCCACTGTTAGTATTCCACCACGTAGCACCAAAATATAGTGCACGCAATAACCGATCGCACAGACTGATGGCTACAATCCGAATTCATTGACATAATTCAGTCAGAACTACGATCTAGAAAAGCGTAGTACTGGTCACGACTCATTGACCAATCAGTATATGTATACCTTTTTAAGAGTCGATGCTTTCTCAAACAGTCGTGCTTACAACTAGTCTGTTACTTGTGTGATCTAGTTTAACTCAGCCTATACTATGAAAAGTCTACTCAGCACAATCATTTAAAGTTATAGAGTTCACTCCATAAGTTTGCTAGTTTATATTAAGACTACAAAATAAGATACTTATACTTTAGATCGCAAGCTTCTGCCCCATATCTTGAATGCTTACACGACCAAGGGATATAAATTGCTATGTGTTAGCTATGACCAAAGTTCTAATTAGGAAGATGTCGTTTTGTGAACTTTACAAAGGTATTATAAGTGTACTAATGCAAGGTTTGTTTGCAAGAAACAAAATTACTATGACTAATATATATATACGTCATAATGACTCGAAATTTCTTAGATTATTGTTCTTTATGTAATAGGTTCCCTTCACAAATTTAAACAAGACAACAACATATACTAGTTATTGTACAGTGCATTTACTTAGTTCTTAATAATCCTTTATCTTGTTTTAATATTCTTAAGTATAATTACTTTTCAACATTACATTACAAGACAGTAACTATCTAGTTGATTATAAGCTTAGTTTGAGTGCTGTGTTAGTGTATGTTGATGATAATTATCAGTCAGCAAATTAATCAGTTATTAATTGGTCTGACTATATTATTTTGTCTAAAGTTTTATAGATTTCAGTGGAATTATTTTTGCAGTTAAAACCACAGTTACAACTGGAAAGGAGAAAGAAAGTAGCATGGTAGATATTTTAAAAAAAATTTACTAGTGAATAAAACCTATAGTCTAACAGCATACGCACTCATGGAGATTGTTCTTTATATCTACGAATCTGTTAAATCCAAAAACCTGAAGTAGACCTATACATGTATGATAATTTATGCTCATACAGAAAACAAACTGATATGTAAACGAATTTATGTTTTAAAAACTAAGATAAACAGTTAACATTCATGAATAGATTCAACATATTTCCTGTTTATATCTATTATGAAGAAAAGCATTTCTAGTTTTTCTTACTTATTGTTTAGTCTTACTTAACTTAGATTTAGATACGCACCGGAGGATATGGTCCAACAATCAGTGTAATAACATTACTAATTACTCCGTTTATAAATCACATCAACAATAAGAAAACGATTGATTTGTTGAAGTGAGAATGAGATGAGTTTCACAGATTACTCACTAGCTTAGTGAACTGGTAGTACCCTAATAATTTAAAACTTGATTATACAGTGTGTTTAATTTTATTAGTATATAGGGGTTTTTGGAGAATGTTGAGTTGTATGGTTTAAATTGCAAACTGAGCACAGTTTGCAATTTATGTTCGGTCTTCAGTATAAACAATGATATAAAGTGTTATGATTGTCTTAACATCAAATATCTGAATAGTTTTTGTAACTTGATTGTCACTTTGATTTATTACAGTCACAAAATTAGGTCTATGTAAAGTGAAATTTGGACTCTAAATATGTATTAACTGCCTGTCAAAGTGATGTTACTTGTAAACATCCACTTATGCAAAACAATGAAGTGTTTCTTTCATTTTGATGAAAACTTACTGTTTGTAAAAGACTTTGTAATATAGAAGCGAAACAAATAAGCTGGTTAAACGACATTGTAAATCGATAAACATCGTGTATATGAATCATTAAATGCCCGATCAGTGGTCTAAATTCCACTGCGCACCGTAAGACTTGAAAGCTATGGGTTTAGTCCCTGATGGAATCATGGACACTCATTTTCAAGAAATCCCATACTAGGACGAGACAGTTATTCAATGCTTTCTGGTTTTTAATGCCTAATTTTAATCAATCACCTAGCGTAGATAAAATATCGAATATTTGCGGTTATTATAAAGAGTCAGTTTGATTGGAAAATATCCAATGTTTTTCAAATTTATATAAAAACACATTTATTTTTGGATTTATTCAGAAGTATACCTTTAAAAAAAGAGTTAATCAAACCAAACAATGCTTTTATTATGCAAATGGATAGAAAAAGTCACTTGGTAACCGCACAAGGAAATAGGGGCGTAATTTTTCCCGAGTCTCAGCCAGCGGTGTCACGTCAGTGAACCGAACTCGTTGTGTGATTTCAATGTTGAAATTAGGTTTCTAAAACGTGAAAAAGATAACGTTTTACTAGTACCTACGGACAAAAATATAAAGTAATTGTATAAACTATAGTGACGGAATTGATGTTTAATAATTTCAAAGAAAATAACACTTTAAGTTGCTGAAAAAGATCTGTAGATCAGGAATATGGAATTTTTAAGGTTGGGTTATTTGACGTGAATGGTTTACTCATGTTCTCATTCATTGGTAGCTTTGGGTACCTGATTAGCTTCTCTTGATGGTGTCCATTCTCTGGTCGTTTGGTCATCTCCTCCCAGTATACAGCAGGAATTAGAAGGACTATCGAATTTTGTGAGGTGAGTATTTCCTCATTTTTTTCTTCTGGCTATCCATAGTAGGTTGATATTATAGGACTTGATAGTGTATATCAGTAATCATTGATCACACCACTACACCTTCTTTAGAATGTTTCACGCAGTTGGATAATCAGTCTAGAGTCCTTATCAGTTTTACTTCCCGCCTAGCTCTGCCTGTTAAATCCAGAACACCAATTTCAGCCTCTGCGATATGAATCATTTATTTCAAACATACTGCGTTTATATACCAATTAGACAGACCACATCGTATCATAAAATATGAAACAACATTTGTACAGGATTTAGCCAAATGTGGCTGTGAATAAGGGAGGTAGTAATCGATAGACAGGGTATAACTAAAGAATAGTAAATCATATAATAATAGCTTGTAGATCGAAATAAAGCCTATGATAAGAAGAACACGAATAATTTAGTTATTTGACAATTATACGATAAAGATATAAGCATAGTATTGATCCATAAACGGGTCCCAAAAGATGCCATTCATTATTCTCATCGGGATATAACATTGTTAAACTACTTCGCAATATTTTTTTTATATTTTCAAACACAACCATTTTACTTAAGATTACATCTTAGTAGTGTTTTAACTAACATTTACTCCAATTCCTAAAGTTGTCATTGAGTTTTTGGTGGAGTTTTGGTCTCTGAGCTGGATGGTTTGGTCGTGGAGCTTTCACCGTTCTTCTGAACGACATCATCAACACAAACTTCAGATAGAAGTGAAGTGTTTGAATTTCTCCATATGTGTCTCAAAGCTTGTTTTGTGCACCTAGACGTTGATTGGTTCTTATTGACCTTAAATTTGTCGTTGTTTACTTCTTTGTTTTGGTTGTGTCATTGAGTTTTAGGCAGTCGAAAGATAGTTTTAAATGAATTAATTAAATGAGTAAAAATAACAACTAGAATTTCACTGAAGACTATAAATAAGAACTTTCGTCTAAATTTGAACGTATAGTTTCCCAATATTTGGGCGTCGAGTTAATGTGAATCATTAAAGAGGAAGACCGTTATTATGGGACCTTTTAATATTTAAAACGAACAACTTATTGTATGTTTCTATTTAAAAACCAAATTATGGTTTGCATATATATTTTTTATATCTATTTCCCATTAGATACTTTGCAGTAATTTGAACTTAAGGAATAAATTAAACTTAGTTCCTGTAAATAGTTCTAGTACATGATCCTAACTAAATTATAGTGGAGGTTGAATGAATGAATTGAGCCGTATTTATTATTATTATTATTGTGTATGATTATCTTCAATATACTTTACTAGTATCATCTATGGGGTATATTTTCCATCAAACAAACTTAAGTGATTCACGTTTTATAATAGAATCATACCATGAAAAATACATCACCATAAATATAATTACACTTAGCACCAATAATTTGATTTTGTGGAAATATCATTGAACCAAAACGTGCATATTGTATTTCAATCTCTTGTCCAATTAATAATTGATAACAATAACTGAAATGTAATAATATATTATAATTATTAAATAAAATATTATCAGGACTAAGTAATTGGATAAATAAAAAAGGAACGAATTGAGCGAAGAAATTTCTTTTCAATTAGTTTTTCATCATGGCTCTACACTAATATATATATATATATATATATATATATATATATATATATATATATATATATATATATATATATATATATATATATATATATATATATATATATATGTTTTACAATAATAATATAATACTCATCGAGTAGATACGTTACGTAATAATTACATAATGACATTTAAATTAACATTAAGTAATTGGAAGAGAGAGGATTATTAATATTCAAAGTAATCAAGAAGTTGCTATATTGCGTAATATAAGAAACAAAGAAGGAACAGAATTTTAATGGATGGTCAATAGGATGGTAGTTACGTAAGAATCAAGAGATGAATGTTGAGAAGTTATTAAGTTCAAAAGCAACAGAAATAAAATTACAAAAGTTAAAAAAAAAACAAATGGAAGAAGTATGAAAAATAGTTCTTTTGAAGGAAATCTTAAACTGATGGCCAGGGCAGGGAAAGTGGTTGTACGAATCTCTTTTGGATGCAAAGGTCAGGTTTGTGAACATGGATTGCGATGGCTTCCGCAATGTGCAAGAGGCGCACTCGTAAACCATGTGGCAAATTAGATGGGATATTGTAGATAACCTTAAAAGCTTTATTCAATTCGACTTGATGACCTGTGTCAACCAAGTGAGAGAATAGAACTTTTAATCACTTTTACCTGTCCTTTGTTTAATCACGACGGATGATGTTCAGTAATGCGATGACGGACTTGCCGAATTGTACGCCCAATATAACTGGCTCCACAAGAGCAGTTGAAACGATAGATGCACATAGATTTGGCGAATTCAGTCAGTCTGTTTATGTTGGCTGTTCTTATCTTGAGATAGTTGTAGAAGATTGCATTTAATCTGACAGCATTAAATGTTTTTGTACGGCTCTTCTTAGTTTCTGAGTCAAGATTTCTTCGATGGTGTCATTTATGAATTGTAGTTTTATGAATAGTACCTTCTTATGAACGGTGGGTATCTTTGTCCTTGTTTTCTTTACCATCATATGTTTGTCGATGAATTTCATGATGCTTTGAATGTTATTGATTGTAAAACAATTTTTTATTCTTAAAATATTAAACAAAGTTTTGGACTTTTCTAAGAAACTGTGTAGTGAACAATAACACAAGTGGGGATAATCAAATATATTTGTATATGACATTACAGAACATCTGAGAACCAAACAGTAAATATCTCATTTGCAAAATATTAGTCAGTCATCTCAGATTTCACTGTTCCTTCATTTCCACAACAATCATTCTTTGTTCTTGTTGTTTTTTCTTCAATCTTCTTAACTTTCTGTTATCAGACATTTCACTTTCAATTGACATTACATACTACTTATATCTGTCGACATCAGTAGCACACAACACAACCGTATTATAAATATGCAAGTAGGTCACTTTCAATTAAATTTCACTATGAAAAGACACTGTAATTTTTCAAATGAAGACTTAAATAAAATTGTTCATTAAGAATAGAGTATACCATAGTTCATTTTCGTAGCCATGTGAATAAATAACCAAACAACAAATAGTAACCTGAGTGTCCTACATCAAGATTCGGTAGTTGATATATTAAATTATCCAAATTTTTCGACATTAGTGAATAATTCTTTTCTAAATCTTTCGGGAATAATATTAATCAGTCAGTTAAACGAAGTGTAGGACCTGGTACATATGTGCATCGATTCAAGTTGTCATCCCCCATTAACACAGAGAGATGATATTGTCAGGTGAAATCCCGGAATTGTAGTGGTAGTGGCAGTAACGGTGATAATAGGAAAGATTAGGCATCGAAGATATGACTTGAAAACGAAATACAAACTAGTGAAACAAAAACAAAAAAAGGTTATGAATAATTTGAAATCTCAGAATTCGATAGAAGACAGTGAACGCATAAACCCGCGCTATTGCAAACGATTTTGAGCCATGTCCTTCAAGGTATTTAATTCTCTAATCTTAATGGCCATTTTTCACATCCATAAAGAGGGATGGAAAAGCTGCTGCACAGTAAACGCTTTTTTGGTTGATAGACGAATATCTCGCCTACATCACAAGTGAGGCAAGTTGGCAAAAGACAATCGAGCCTTCTGAATCCATATCGAGATTTCGTCAAATATCAGGCAATCAGGACTGATAAGACTATCCGGCTAAGTGAAATATTCTATGCACTCAAATGGTCTACTGCCTATGATTAATTCAGGCCCTGACGTAGGCCAATCAACATTTTGAAGAATTTTTCATTTAGAGGAAGGGGATTTCATCCCAAGCATGCCTCTATTGTAGCCTAAGATGGTCAGGAGACTCCACATTTTTCAGCGTCTCCACATGGGGTTTATAATTATGTCCATACTAAATTTATCTGAATTCGAAGAATAAAACTTCTTGGTAAGTAGTGAGATTAAGTTTGACCACATTGATGACTGTATTTATGAATAGCAATGTAATGAGTTAGTGATTATATTCTGGGTGCTCATAAAACGAACTAGCCACTCATGTTAATTTATCAGTCATATTAAAATTTAAGAAACAGTAACTTCTAATGTAATCACCTCTGCTATCTGTAATTATGTTGTATAAGTAGTATTCTCGATAGAATAAATCCAGAAGTAGTGCGGCCCTTAATTTTTCCGCCAATTAAATCGGGAAATGATGTTGTCGACGGACCCATCATTTTAGCGGCCCCTTAATTTAGCTTCAGTTGGATCGTATGATGATTGTTGTCGAAATCATACATCCCGCCAACCCTCGTACATAATTAATGACTTAACTCGCGTTAGTGAATAACGGAATTTAATAAGTTAAATACGAGAATGAATTTCAAATACGTATATAAAGCAAAACAGATTGGAGCGGAGAAGTTGAGTGAGCCAACTCCATTTTGACCAAACGTAACCCGATAGTTATAGTTATCAAAAATTAGTTACAGACAGATAATGAATAGGGTTAGTAATCAACACATATACGATCATATATAAACAGTCAGGGTTAACATAAAGATAAGTGTAGCTTGAGAAGAATGAATAGATTAGTCTATCCAAAGTTAGAATAACCTATATGGGTTTGACATAGTACCGGCCACTGAAGTATATCTTACATGTGTGATTTTCACAATAATAATAATAATAATAATAATAATAATAATAATAAAATATGTTATCTGATTTGGTTTGTAATCATTAGCACGCAACCAACTGTAATTATTTCTGGTTCACTGTAAGTTTAAGATAACCTGATGTTTTCCAATCTGCTCATTCTCGTACTTTTCAGTTATCTCATTTGTTTTATTTTATTACATCATCTGATTGTCGTTATTGATTCTTTTCATGCCATTTGTTTAAATGCATTAACGGTAAACAAGCTCTACATTGCATAAATAACTCAATACAAATAGATAATTATCAGAAAGGGGTTCTGTAAAGATTGTAGTAATTTGATAGTTGAATTCATGAGCCAATTAAAGCTAGGCCAGCATTGAAAACCTGGAAGCAGTGGACGGCCGTTTCGTCCTAGTATAAGAATCCTCGGTGGTTCGCACCCGCTCACTGAAGACAATGGTGAACGGTGGAACAGTTTCGTGGAATAGTTGAAGTTAGCCATTAATACTGTTGGATCCCGGCTCGGTGGTCAAGGGGTTAGGCGTTCACGCGTGAGGCCAAAGGTCCTAGGTTCGAATCCCACGAGTAAGGTCGTGTACACACACTGCTCAGGAGTCCCATAATAGGACGAAACGGTCGTTCAGTGCTTCCGAGTTTTCCATGGTGGTCTAGCTTCAATTCACTCACGAATTCAACTATTAAACTACAAATAGATAAATAAATTTAAAAAAGAGAGGATCAACTTCAAACGCAAAATATATTTGGAATAAAGAATATTCACACTGCAAACACTAACCCATTCAAACCTCTTGGTGTAGTTGGAAAATTATTATTAATTAAATTTTGTATTGGAACCCATTCAGAACTACGATTTATTTTAGATACTGGCCATATTGCTAATAAATCTGGTTTGTTTGACATGAAATTTATGCCCAAACCTTTACGATCTTCTTCATTTGTAATCCCAATGGGATTAAGTAAATTCTCCCATATTATATTTTGATATTGTACACAACGTGTAGTCCAATCCATTTCAGGTCTTGTAAATTGTTCAAGAAATGATAAACTAAGTGTAAAATTAAAAAAGAAAATTCTTAAGTTATGATTTTCATTGTAATTAAATAAGGTGATCTTTCACTTTAAAAGAATAATGTTAGGCTGTGGGTGAAAATACAATACATTTGTAATAAATCAGTTGGCTAGTTCTTTTAATGCTTATGTAAATATGGGTATAAATAATACACTAATTTATCCATCATCAACTCTAGTCCCATAAATTATTAATCCGAACATTTAATTTCTAACCACCGGTTCCACTGAATTTTATTTCATTACATATATCGACGTTTGAGTAGTTCATAACCATCATCAGGAATACCAGAACAACATTTAAAGATTTTGGTCAAAGGAATTAAAGTGTATTTAATGGATGAGAAATATTTTCAGCTCAGAATGCCAATGCTCGAGTGGAATCGTATTCTGGAGTACGATCGTTTCTGACGATTTCTCGATATTCTAGTTATTTTATTTATCATTATACTAAAAAGCTTACTGGAATAATACTGTCCATTAACTTGTTAACATTTGACTGGTCAGTGATATCTTTTGGTTCTAACTAGAAACATTAAAAATCTGTATGGTGATTAATTAATACATCTTTCCTGATTTCGTTGTATACAACCATCTGCGCTTATAAATGTACTGGGGTCTATGCAGTGGATCCCGGTCTGCCTACTGTTACGTCACCATCTTAAAAAGTCGCTCACAATGTAGTGAACAGTAACATGGGTGGAGACGATTGAATGCATCGAATACAAAATTACAGGACTTGTTAATAAAATCTAACAATCATAAAATGCTTAATTTGCAAAATGTCCATCAGTTGTCTCAAAATGACTCATACTTCATTGTTCTTGCATTTTCATACAAATTGCATTCTGTTTCGATCCTCTTGTCTCTCTGCTGCCATAACTTCTATTCACGAATAACATCATACACTACTTATTAGTAGCACACACCACAACAGAATCTTGTAGAGTTTATATTTACCTGATAATTGATCTTTACTTTTTAAGTCATTTCAAAACTATTGCAAAGCCATTTTTAAAATGCGTTGTACACAAGTGATCTTTACAAAATGACTAATAATTGTCTTTATGAACATTACAAATTTATTGTCTGAAATGGAACTTTGTTTTTGAGTTGTAGAGTTCTGACATATGTAGTCAGATTTAAAGAAGATTTACTTATTACCATATCTGAGCAGTATATCACTACATGGCTTTGATAACACTTAGTAGATCTCTTTAGTACTAAATTTCTATAATTTTCTTTTTATTTGACTGGATTTATATCTTATCAGATCGTATTCTTGATGTGTAATCTTTTTATTACTGTTATTACCTCTAGTAATGTGATATTAGCTCTGAAAATTTCGTCTCGTTATACTTATAGGGTATGGCAACTTGCACTGATGTGCCAGGTTCTACGTTGCGTCTGGCTGACCTACTGACACCTTCTCAGACTGTTTATTTCAATTGCTTGGTGCATAAAGACCATTAAATGAATCAAACCTAACTTGGATGTATAATGATGAAAACTTAGATATAAACTACTCATCAAAACATAATATAGAGCCCTCCTCGCGTAATATATCTAGCATATTATTACAAATGGATTGCAAGTATTATAGTTTTACAAAGCAACACACTTCCTATTGAGTCTAATTATATCTTCCCAAAGTTACCTACATTCACTTTGAGAGAAGTTATAGTAAAAAATATTGTTCTGATAAAAACTAAAACAAATGATGGAATACGATGCTTAACAATTTAAGATGCTTGAGTTCACCCGTTCTACGTCTTTCATAATGTTTTAGTATAATTCATTTGTTTCACGAGGTAGATGTCATTATGCTAATTATTTAAAAAATTATATTACTAATTCTAATGACTAAAATAAAGTACAGATTATAATTTACCTTAATGTACATCCACTGTAAACATCTTCACCAAATCTAATAGGTTCTACTAAATGACCTCTTCCTTGTAAAACGGTCCCACATGAACCACCAGCAAGAATATTCCAAACTCCATTACTTAGTTGTTGTTTTACACCTTTGATAGACAACATCATATTTGATGTGGGCAACATAGTCGTGACAGAACCAGTATTTCCTAAGTATCCAAGCGACGATAAATCAGTTACATTTATCTTAGCGCCTATTATTGGACGACCAATTAAATAGCCCGGATTTCCACTCATTGGTAAAACGTCGGATGCATTTGTCTATCAGTAATTATGAAACAGTGAAGTTATTTAAATCATTGCTGTGAAATAGAAAAGAGTTTTTACTTTGAAATGAATCTTTTTTTCTTAGAATTGCATGAATGTTATGAAAAAAAGTGTTGAGAAACCGTTGATCCAGAATTTTTATTTATATTTACAAATTACTTCATATAAGTTAGACTCTATTATTACATTTTTAAGAGGTATTAGTGAGGTGAATTCTGATATTTAATTTAAGTTCTCTTCACTGATTGTTACCAGATGTTCATTATTCAACGCAGTACGTCGAATAAAAAACCCTTAAATCATAAACTCCATTACCCTAATCATTTAATTAATCTCATGAATTGGTTTCCATCAGCTATTTACCCAACTAATTATTGATTCCTTTTCTTTTTAAGTCCAGGGAAAGTTTAAAGTTTAATTGGGGAATAAATATTTTTATCAGAAAGTTAAGTACAGTTTAATGAATTGTTTAATATGTTATTTCAAATCATGTAACTAACCTGGACAAATTCAACTTCATATTTTTGTGTAAATGTCCCAGTTACGCTACCAATTAAAGCATGAACTTCAAACTGGTTAATTGTACCAATTACTTCATATGTCATTTTCAAATGCACCTTTAGAGGTAAATAAAAAACCATTTAATTAGTTTAAGGCATTCCATACTTTATACTGAATGGATATAGTTTCAGTGATATTGATGTGAACGAAAACTCAGGTGAGTGAGACCATTTTATTTTTTAGTGCAAAACCACAGAGTACCCTCATAAAGTATGAAAACCACACATTAAATATATTGTTTGTACATCTTCCTTCACTTGTCTTTTACATGCTTCATGATTCTTTCAACCTTGTCGTCACTAAAATTTCTCTCTCTTTCCTTTCCTCTTCTCTCCGATCCAATCTTCTGCTGCAGGCATTCCACTTCTCATTAGTGTTACATACCACTTATATCTGTCAACTTAAGTAGAATACACCATAATATTAGTCTAAAAATTTCGCTTTATTCAAACTGTCTTACACTATGGACTGATGTCAACTGAGTAGTCATTAAAAGTCACGTATCACTGAACCATTCGAATACAATAATAGTCATCGTTTTACAATTTAAGTTCTTTCGTGAAATATCATGAACATAATTCACTGCACACAGGTGAGCATTCAGCTTCAACAATCACTTGGTTAGCGTCATTATTGTAACATGCCTTAATTACTACGAGTTGACTCCCTTGAGTTTACAGCAAGAAACTGTGATCTGTAATGTTGTATCAGCAATGACGTAAATATCCCCGGCAACGCTGGATGATTATTGCACGTTGTATTGCGAGTAGATTGGATTTGAAAATTTTCAAGTACCTAACATAAACTCACTAATTTGGCGACCCGAAGCACTCTGTGAAACCTAAATAATATTAGTTTGAGTCGATGATTGGATAGCTGGTGGTTACCACTATAAAGTCTCGGATCAACACGAAGCTGTCTTCAGTGTCATTTGTGTCTTTACTGACTACCCTAATGTTGTTATTACGTGATCAAAACGATTTTCTAATGATAGACATAGCTAAAAAAATACTTGATATACACTAAAACACTTCATTTTATATACATACGAGGGTTGTATACACCGTTCAATTGTGTGGCTTGAATTTTGGACTGAGACTCTCAGCATATTTTTTCACATAAAGCGATATAAAGACAAAATCTGAAGGAAGCTAAATGAACCTTCAAGAAAACATGGCATGTAACAAACTTCTCTACAGTCGTTTTGAATAACAAGGTTCTTCCTCAAGGACTTTATCAAAATTCCAATAACGTGTTTTGGTTATGCAGAGTAAGTGGTCTATATATAGCAATGGCATGACGAGCATTCTTAATACGCTAAGTATTTTAAGCCATAGTTAACTCCATTATCAAGAATATATTGCCTAAAACTTATCAGTGCACTTTAACGAAGTGTGCTTGGCTGGAAAAACACTTAGGGATATCCAAAAATGATCCTGTATAAATTAGAATGACTCCACGTTAATTAATAACCAGCAAAAAGGTTACTATATTTATAATACTACTTACTAGAAATACTCATGAGAAGTCATAAAAGAACACTAATGACTGCCTCAAAATTCAATTGAATTTCACTGTTTTGTGTAGGGAAAGATGTAAACCAGATTTTAGAACATTTAAGGCCAACTGATTAAAGAATTACCAGTCGCTATTAAGGCTTTATGAACCTTATGTCTATATCTGGTTGGATAAATAGGTACTTAGCTCTACTCATATTTAACAAAACCACTTATTGGTACGTGTCCTGGCGTACTGATATGTGTTCTGACACTAATTTTACAAGGCAAAACGTATAGGCTATTAGGTGATAAGGTGAGAATTGATTTACTTAAAAATTTGCTGCATTCTCCTAAGTGAACTGTTGGGGCGGTCAGTGGTAGCCATTCAATCCTTCTTTTGTTGTAATTTTATGTTGGGTAGAAACATAAGACAAGTACAGTGCTTTATCAGGGTAGAGATAGTTTCCCCCTACATGGGAACTTTTTGCCGTGGTACTTTGACAACCCAGCGAGTCACTTAGTAACTGAGGAATGACGACTGTCTTAGTTACAAAATCTTGTTATTCGGTGGAGTTTAATCGTACTTTAGTATAAAACCAATTGGTTGCATCAAGTTTTGCATCTTTGAGATTATAGTATAATTCAGTTTTCTCTTATATGTAACTCGCTATTATTTGTTCCAATTCATTCAATATCCTCAACTTGTATTATTATTTTTATTTTACTTTCATTGTCTAATTTAAATTTTTGTCTATTTTACACCTACTCAATCCAATCAATTTAACATGTGCTACATTTCAACTAACAGTACAGCTAAGCTTTTTTCAATGATTATCAAAAAACACCATCCAAATTCACATTAATTCACACTATAAACAGAATTTCTTCCTCAACTATGTGATCTATTAACATCAATACAATAAAGCCGAGATAAAGTCTGTCGTTTGTTTCAAAACCGAAGTCACTTTGTAACATAGTAGTTCGAATAAGTATCAAACTTTTGACACGTTAAATCGGGATTTATTTACTGTGAATAGAGTGTAAAAAAATAATAGTATATTAACTTTCAAGTATATGACATATAAACCCCAAACTCTCATTGATTCCTGAAATTTCGCATGGTCAAACTGGGTAAATAAAGATTAAACAATTCGTTTTTAAATAAATTAGCCTACAATTTTTAAAAATTTTGAAAATAGAATTCAGGAAGCAAAAATTGATTACCGATACTGGTACACCTGAGCAAATAGTTTTATTTGAGCTATTGATAATAATGTTTGGTGTTGTTGTTGGACATAAAATCGGTAAGTTTGTGTTTTGTTCGTAACAAATAACAATAGACACAATATCTTCACGACTGATTTCGTTTAGTTTCATGTTTTTTAGCATTTTTGAATTCTTGACCATCAGAAAAACGTCACCCAAGCGGTTACATTTAACATTATTTGTCCTAAAATTATTCGTTGTTTCAGTTTCTACCACATTACATTCACAGTAACTTACGAATGATTGGCCAAAGCCTATAATTAAAACGTGACGAAATATTTGGGATCAGTTTGTTTTACTTTTTTTAATAAGGAGAAATATGTACTTTCAAAATAATAATTAATGAGAATGAAACGTTTTGGATGGAACTTATTTTTATGTTGAAAGTTTTGTTTAGTGGTCAGTATAAGTGACTAACTATAGAGTATCATTGAGTTTAAAAATTTTATTTAATAGCAGAAAAATTCGATTACCAGGTGTAAATAAAAATTGTGCCAAATTACTACAAATATTCATTCTTTTGTATCGTGATCCGTTAAAAATGAAATTCTTTTTAATTGTCCAGCAATAATAGTCAATTAGATAATAGGTAGTGTGATAAAAATTCCCAGCAAACTTAAGAAAGCCTTAAGAAGCTTCAAAAGAGTCAAAAACACTCCATCTAATCACCGTTTAGAAGAACATTCCAGAATCTCTACGTGTAGATTCCCGATTAGACAAAAGTTAAGGGCTGCTGCCCGAGAATCGGATGGTTGCAATAATGATTCAGTTTTTTTACAAGAAACCATAGAATTTCGAGCGCAAGACCGATATGTTGAGGGTTTGAATCGCACAAACGAAATCGTGGATGCGTACTCTTGAAGTCATATACTAGGACGAAACAGCCGTCTAGTGTTTTCAGGTTTTCCATGGTAGTCTAGCTTTGATTGACTCATGATCTCAACTATTAAAGGTGTATTGATCAAGAGTATATTAAGGACTTAAAACCCACTATATATGAAGCATTTCTGCCTAGATCTCTATTGGTTAACACCTTGTTTACTTTGATGAACGTGTCTAAAGCCAAATGTTTTAATAGCAATGTCAACTTATTTTTCTGACCTCGTATTTCTTAAGCATACTCATTTCACAAAGTACTATAAAACCTAAACTGACAGAAATCCTTACAATAAGGTAATTACATATATCTTCAAGCCTCAGTATTGGAGGTAGTAGATTGATTGGCGCATGTTAACCCTTAGGTTGGATGGTTCCATGAAGATCCGATTTTTTCTTAGTATCGTTAAGGGATATTATGACACCTACAAAGAAAACTATGTTCGGCGTCAGTCATGAAATATAACCAACTTCCTTCGGATGGATACACTAGCAAGACATAAATATCTGAGCAATATGACTACTGTGATTATAGTCATAATGGAATAACTGTCATATATCGATTTGAGACAAAGCGTAACTAAATATCTGACAAACTTACTCGCAGAAACCATTTCACATGAGGTTCGCTTTAGTTGAGGAATGATCAGTGGTCCAACCTCGTTGACTCCATAGCTTATATACGTTGGAACACCTATCTGGATTTGTAGGTCAGGACTTTTAGACCTTGAAACAATTATTCTAACTTACCGAATAGAGAACTAAATCATCTGAATAACTTGGGGTGTTTTTCAGCCCAACGGCATTTTCCAATGTGTAACTGACATTTTCTAGACCAAAAATGGCGTTTAGTGAATAGAACTACTGTTTATAGAATAAATGCATAGTGGATGATCAAAACCATCTGAAATTAAGTCCTTGCAAGGTTGTAAGGAATCTCTAAATATGCTAGAAAATATTACCACAATTTTATACCTTCTAGAGGTTTCTTCACATGTTTTAAACAGTCCAAACTGCCGAAAATTACAGTCACTATCACAACAACACCCACTTTCACAATAGTTTTTTATAATATTGCAATGGCACGGAAAATCTTTGAAAATGTTTTAGTATGCTGCATACCTTCACTATTTAAAAGCGTTGATACTGATAAAAATGTCAACAGCTTGAAAATCATATTTAAACTATTGTTTTTTGGTATATTTGAGTTCAGTATAAACGTACGTAGTGTTCTGGTGTGATACAGAGAACAGTGTGTGCGAGAGTATGTAAGCAAAAAGAACAAAAAGGAAAGTTATCTAACGACTCAGTTGGGAAACATGGTTTGTAAGTGAAAACAGTAGGCAACATTTAGTAATATGATGGGTGTAAGATTAAGATGCAATCGGTTTCAAATGCGTTACAACCCATATTTCCACGACAACAAAAACCATTGACTCAACAAAACAAACTAAAACAGTCAAAATATGTTAAGCTACTGCGATAAAATTACTTCTTTAAACTTTATCTGTGTTTTAAGCATTAGTAAGCGTTGTTAATCTAAAGTAATCGCATTTGAAATAGGAATACCTTGTTATTAGGACGTCTATGCGTTTGATACATATCAAGTTATCTATCCGTTTTTAATTCTGTATCTAGCTCTTTTAGTCATCCAACCATACACTCAACGGACAGGTATTGAACTTAGGGGCGTAATTTTTACGGGGGTTGCATTCGAAGCATTTGAAGTTATCTACAGCTTATTACAGAAACTGCAGTTAACATAGAAGATGATTAAGAATTTATTTTCTTTTGCGACTTATCAAAAGTTGGTTGAACCTTTGACGAAATGGTATTTATTATCAAACATTTGTGCACTTACCTGACATCAATAAATCGACTGGAGTTATCGTCTGTAAGTTGATGGATTATCTCTTGAAACAAAATATTTATGGGTGTGAAATTGTATTTCCGTGCACCCTTGTCTCCTTTCTCCTTAGACTAACAAAAAACACATTTCTATTCATCAAATGAGGAGTCTGATTCCAGACGAATAGGAACTGTTGTCTTCAAGTGGGCAGCATCTCAAGAATCTTATTGCTGCGGTTATGTCGTTCCACATGTCGATACTGAACAGTGAGGCGAAGAACATTTTTCGAGAGATGATTGTTGCAGATTGATTTACGAATAGGGAACAGTTAACCAAAAAATTAAAAATTTAAGAGAATAAGTTCCTGTCATTTTTCTATATAAGGTAGCCATCGCAACGAGAGAGGGATCTACATTAAATATATATACAGAACGAAAAGGTGTCATCAGCGGTCGACGATATCCTCGTTAACTCGAGAGTATGTTTCACTAAGTATACTGGTTACTGGTTATGGTAGCCAGTCATTCGCTCGTGTTCATATGGTAGATGCACTACTCATCATAACCAGATGGTCAGTGACTCTTAACCATAACTTACTACCCACTGTTCATAAACGAGGTCCATGGTTACATCATTTGGCAGAAGATCAAGCTGGAGGTACCTCGTCCTTTACTGCCGTCGAGAGCTTCAGACTATGTTGTGATCGATTTGGTTTATGAAGTGTATGAGGAGCGAGTTATTACACAGGATATCTGCAGTATGCCTCGCCGTGTGCTGAAGCAGTCATAACGCCGAGGTTTGTTTGATAGTTTGTCCCATATTGACTTAGAAGATAAATTATAAACCTTTGCAGCACATAATCCATCTGGGAAAGAGAACACAGATGCAGCATGGTACAGATGGTCAGCCGTAGTGTTATTACTTCTATATACGTGATTAGGCGAACATAGCTCGACGGTTTGTAAACAGTATAGGACTTGACTTCACCCATAAATGAGATTCTACCAGTTCGTGAAGGAAATGCCAGTAGCCTTTGTGTTTGTAGCTTAAGAGACATCTGATTTTACCGAAAGGCTTTTAGCCTTTTTTCGTGATAATGATTTGTGTGGTATACAGGCCGGAAGTAATACTCTTGGTGAAAACGTTCATCAAATATTGCGTATAGTTTACACTTTCTGCGGCTAGTGAAAAAAAATTATTTGATCACTGTTTATTTCAAATGTACAAACCAGTACATTTCAACTGTGTTTAGTCAATAAACATCACTTTTAGATTTTATGAGTATATTAAAGCCTATGAACCAGAAAATCTCATCTCTTTCCTTTACCATGAAAATAACTTTTTGAAGGAGAGAGAAAAATGAACTCAAGCGCTTAGGCCGCGCTCTCAAATACATCTGCAGAACAACACCGAATTTGTGGAAACTGTGACGATTTGTGTCGATTAGTTAAGAGTTGACCTCGAACATCTTTGTAATGTCAAAACATTATAGCTCAAGTATTCATTCACTTCCTTACTCTGTGTAGGTATTATACTTCCTAATATTATGTTTACATTTTTGCATTAACATAACGCCTGTTACTCCCAATGGAGCATATGTAGTGTGGCGTCCAGTAGCGGTTGACTATGATCGCCACTACAAGAAAGTTGCGTGCCAGATATAAGAAGGCGATTGGAGGTTGTATTTGTTGGCGATCTCGTGGTACCGTAAGAATACCGAGACCTCACCAAAAGAGTACAAGCGGAATCACTGAACAAACGTAAACGTGTGAAATGTCACAATCAACGAAAGGAAGAGTGTCTTTATTAAAGTTAAAAAACAAGTACAGTAAAACAATCACTGGTACAACTGCTTATAATAATAATTGTTTATATTAAACCAGTCGTGTTCTCTAGATAAAAGTAGGTCACTACAGTAGCCTCTTGCCAGAAAGGGCTCACACTTTAGATACGTAGCGCTTTTGTTCGTGGGACTGATCGGCAAACGTGCGATTGTAGGACGAGAGGGTTTGCAGAGCAGGAAGCAGTCGTTGATCCTCGAGTTGCCACTGAAGGTCTTTCACTTAGAACGGTACCAAGAGAAGCGTGCTGTATTTGTTGCTCGAGTTAGCGCACCACACTAGAGTGGTTTGTATCCAGGATCTGAGGATCGCAGTCGTAGTGGTGCCGACCAGAAAATGCCGTAGACGTAGGGCGGAACCACACTGAGCGAAGGAAACAGAAGAGACCACAACAACCAATTGCGAGACCTAACCTATGCCAGACAGATTGAAAACCAGAATGTCGACTGAGTGCGTTGACAAGAGCGTGGGTGATCAGGCCAGCTTTCGCAAAGGTTGACTGGAGTCGACGGTACCAAACGGGCGATGGTTGGGGGCGTGAGCGTAGGATACAAAAAAATCGAATAGTTCTACGCCGTATCCGTTGTTGATTGTGTGGTTAGTCTCGAAAACGTATGGGTAGGAGTATTCGGCGATGGGAACGCGAGACGATAGTCTCGTTCGTACTTCATGAGACTTGAATCTCATCCAAATTCAAAGGAGGCGTGTTCTGCTGATCTGGACGTGAGACTGAAGTCTCGTCCGTAGATAGTGCAGATGATACGTGCTGTTGACGGGAACGTGAGAACGAAGTCTCTGATGTACCTAGCGTGGGATCTGAAGTAGGTGTAGGGATCCCGCTAGTAAGTTTGATGGGTCTAACGTTGAGTCTCAAGTTATCAAGTAGGGGACTATCATCAACGTGTGTTGTTTTGGGATGATCAATGCTGATTACTTCGACGCGGCCATGTCGATCAACCTTGAAGGTCTTTTCAAGATGAGAAATCACGTGAAGAGGTACTTCGTAAGGCTGTTGCAGGGGTTTGCGTACCGAATCTACTCGTATGAAAACATATGAACAGGTAGATAACTCTCAATGGAGGGCAACCTGACGATGTTGTATACGAGTTGACACCGGACACAGTGTTCATATAAATTCGGACAGTCAATGGACGTAGTCTGATTTCTCAAAATCGTTACTACTCTGTTGTGTGAAAAATTCCCCAGGCAGACGCAATGTCGTGCCGTATACCAGTTCAGCGGCGGCACATTGAATATCTGCCTTTAAGCTCGTTCTGATATCTAAGATGGCGAGCGGTAAGGTTTCGTACCAAATATTATTTTCATGTGCTCGAAGAACACTTTTAAGTTGGCGATGAAACTGTTCAACTAAACCATTTGATGCTGAGTGGTAGTCAGTATGCTTTCCGTACCAAGCAGCTGGGTCAATAAGGAGAATAGTTAATTGAAAAATTTTCTTGAATAAAGCGTGGAATATCTCGTCACGCGAATAAAAGATGACAAAGATTCAGTACCCGTACATCAGAGTCTATTATATCAATAAAATTCTTATCGTTATCCGTCATCTCATGTTGTTGCCAAAATATTATATATTGAAAACATATCAATATGAAGATTTGCAACAGACTTGGATAGATAAGTGATAGGCTCATCGCAATTGGCTTCTTTGGAAGATTTGGCCAGAGGTTGAGACGTGTTCCCAGATTTGGCCCACCAGTTGTTGTGTGGCGTCGGGTCGCGGTTGTCCATGATTATTACTACAGGAAGACTAAGTGCCAGTTAACCGATAAGATCCCCTGTAGGCCAAATGACAGCAGACAGTTGATGGCTGTAGTCGAGATGTATTTTTAGGCGATCTCGTGGTTTTGAAAGTATACCGGGATCATTCAAGATTACAAGTGGTGTTACTGAGAGTAACCGGATTCGTGAAAGGTCATTACCAAAGGGATGTTGTATGTATTTTGGCACAGCTAAGCAAGTATGTGCAGCAAAACAACCACTCGTACAATTGGCTATAATAATAATTGTTTCCATTAAACCAGTTGCGTTCTCTTGATAAAAGTAGGTCACTACATATAGGCCACCGACTAGCATTCTCAAACTCACTCTGTGCTGGGCCTCTCTTTCCAGTTCTGTCCAATTTTTGTTAATTTTTCTCATGTCTCTCCATTTCTCAGCTTAATGTGTTCTTTGATCTCCACCTTTTTCTCTGGCTTTAAAGATTCTATGTCAGGGCTTGCTTTGTGATGCAGTTGAGTGCTTTCCTCATTGTGTGTCCTATCCACTTCCAGCGCTTCTTCATGATTTCTTCCTCCGCTTACATCTGTTTTGTTCTCTCCCACAATAAGTAGTTGCTGATAGTGTATGACCAATGGAAGCGAAGTATTTTGCGTAAACAGCTGTTAATAAACACTTGGATCTTCTGGATGACGGCTTCTTTAGTTCTCCAGGTTTCCGCCCCATACAGTAGAAATGTTTTGACATTTGCATTGAAAATTCTGACCTTGGTGTTGGTTGACAGATGTTTTGAGTTCCAGATGTTCTCTAGTTATAAATATGCTGCTGTTGCTTTGCCGACCAGCCCTAATAGTTTGATTTGACATTCAAAGACTTTGTGTTTAAAAAAATTGCTTGGCGCTACAACTGTATAATCCACGGTGTAAATAAAGGCTTGTTCACCACTAGTCTGGTAATAAAACGAGGAGTATCCAACAGTACGATGAAGCT